AGGTGAGGGTAGCAGGGACAGTGGTGTAGAAACCTCCGAAAATCCACTTCTCTAATACTGGAATGAAAATACTAGCAAAAATTGTCAAAAGTAACTTCTCCAGAACTCTCGAAAATAACCAAAGACTTGCAACAATTCCAGGAGCATTCACTCAAGAAAAATGTTAACTCTAACTCACAGTGAGCTGTGTTATTTATAATCCCTGGGGCAACCACTAACAAAATAATTTTTAAAATACACAGCAATACATGTGACAGTGGAATTAAAACAGTACATTAGAAAATATTTAAAACAAAAGGTGGCAGTAATGGAGCAAGAGAGACACATACAAAAAAAATCATAAGACAAAGGAAATAAATAGCAAAATGGCAGATATAAATCCTTCCTTATCAGTAATTACATTAAGCAGAAATGGATTAAAACCCCCCCGTGGAAAGGCAGAGACTGATGGAACTTTATTTCATTAAGCACAGCCAGCGTGCTGCCTACCTCCCGGGAGGCCCAGAGGTATAATCAGAATATGAAGATAATTGAAGACGAGGAAGAAGTTACCAGTTCCCCAGGAAGAACATGCTGAGTCCAAACTTAGGTGTGTCTGGGACAGAATGCTGAGAAACACCATTTAAATCTCACACAGAGGAAGAGGAAGAGGAAGTGGGGTGAGGCCATGAAGACATGGGATAGTAGCAAGAGAGCCACATAGGTAGGAGACAGGTTTAATGCCTGCAGGAAGAAGACAGTGCTGCTGAAGAATGTGAAGAAACCAAGACAAATGGCAGGTAACTGGGAGGGGACATCTCCATGAGACGGGCTCCAGAGGGTATGTGGAAAAAGGGTGCTTCCACAACAGGAGGGACCATCTTTCCTTCTGAGGGGAGGACACTGAAGGAGCTGCCAATCTGAGGCCTTTATCTTCTCAATGAAGGTCAAGGCAGGGTCACCGGCTGAGAGTGAATGGGTAGGTGGGAAAGGCAGATTTGAGAAACACTGAGAAGTTCTGAAAAAGCTGTTTTCAAGAAAGGGTCTAGGCAAATAGAAGGACTGCATGTGGCATGGAAGACCCTGTCAATTAAGAGTTCCATTGGAACGCTTGTGTGGACTTTGCAAAGCTCTGCAGCCAGGTGTGGAAGAGAAGGAAGTTGAGAGACTGATTTAGGGCTGGGAAGGCATGACAACGGGGCACAGAGAGGTACACAGGGAGGGTGCCAGTAATTACATAAGTATTTACATGTGACCCTTTACTAAGACCCTTCAAAGGCATATTTTAAATGAGTGCATTTTGCTGTATGTAGATTTTCCTGAATAAAGCTGAATTTAAAAAAAAAAAAAAGCAAAGATTGATAGAATAGATTAAAAACTATGATGCAACTATGTGCTGTCTACAAGAGACACACTTTAGATTCAAAGACAAATAAGCTGAAAGACAAAGGAAAAAGATGCAAACAGTAGCTAAAAGAGAGCTGGAGTAGCTAAGGATGTTTCGTAATGATAAAAGGGTCCATCCATCAAGCAGACATAATACACACCTAACAAGAGAACCTCAAACACACACACACATACACACACACAAAACACTGACAGAATTGAAAGAGAAATGGATATTGCAACAAAAACAATTGCAGACTTCAACACTCTACTTTCAATAATGGATAGCACAACTAGACAGAAGATTTGAACAATGCTACAGACTAACTAGGAGTAACAAATAACTACAGAACATTCCACTCAGCAGCAGAGTACAGATTTTCTCAAGTGCAGGTGGAACATTCTAGAGGATACACCCATATGTTTGGACATAAAACAAATTCAGATAAATTTAAAAGGACAGACATCATACAAAGTATATTCTCCAACTACAATGGAACGAAACTAGAAATCAATAACAAAAAGAAATTTGGAAAATTCATAAATATGTGGAAATTAAACAACATACCAATAAACAATGGATCAAAGGAGAAATCACAAGGGAAATTAGAAAACACTTTCAAGATGTATGAAAACAGAAACACAACATACCATACCTCACTAGACACAGTGAAAACAGTACTTAGATGGAAATTTATAGTCATAAACACCTATATTAAAAAAGAAGAGGCTGGCAGTTAGCTCAGTTAGTTAGAGTTGTGTTGTGGATAACACCAAAGTCCAAGGTTTGATCCTTGTATTGGCCAGCGCCCCTCCACCCTCAAGAAAAAGACCTCAAGTCAATAATCTAAACTTCCACCTTAAGAAACTACAAAAAGAAGAGCTAACTGAAACTGAACAGGAAACGAGTGGAAGGAAGAAAATAATAAACTCAGAAATCAGTAAATGAAATAAAGAACAGAAAAGCAATTGAGAAAAATCATTAAAACCAAAAGTTGGTTCTTTGAAAAGATCAATAAAATTGACAAACCTTTAGCTACAGTGATCAAGAAGAAAAAAGAGTCAAACTGCTAAAACCAGGAACAAAAGAGGGGACATCACTAAAACCAAAAGTTGGTTCTTTGAAAAGATCAATAAAATTGACAAACCTTTAGCTAGAGTGATCAAGAAGAAAAAAGAGTCAAACTGCTAAAACCAGGAACAAAAGAGGGGACATCACTATCATTACAGAAATAAAAAGGATTATAAGGAAATATGAAGAACAACTGTATGACTACAAATTAGATAACCTAGATAAAGTGCACAGATTCCTAGAAAGACACAAACTTCTAAAATTGACTCAAGAAGAAATACACACTCTGACAGCTAGCAAGTAAAGGAATTAAATTAGTAATAAAAAAAAAAACCCTAACAAACTCAAAGTACAGAACAGTCCTAGATGGTTTCATGGGTGAATTCTACCAAACATTTAAAGAATTAATAATAATTCTTCACAAACTCTTCCAAAAAAAATAGAATAAGAAGGAACACTTCCTAGCTCATTCTAAGGCCAGCATTACCCTAACACTAAAACAAAGATATCACAAGAAAAAAACAAAAACAAAGACCTATAGACCAATACATCTTTTACGAACACAGACACAAAAATCCTTAACAAAGCACTAGCAAATCAAATCCAGAAACACATAAAAGTATTATACACCAGGATCAAGTGGAATTTATTGTGGTATACATCTGCGGTTAAGGAGATCAGCCTTTCTGGGGGGCTTGAAGGTCGGACGGAGCTCCTGCAGCATTCAGCAGTGTGTACTACACTGAACATAAAGCTTATCTACTGGACAATTGTTAAAACTCTTAAGTGGTCTTACTATTGGTAGGAACACCAGAAATGCTTGCAAAAGAGCACATTATACTCCAATACTGCCAAATGGTGGTTTCAAAGTATAAGCATAAATATTCTAAAAGCAAGGAATACCACTTGCAAAGAGAATCAGTAGGAAGACTTCCAAAGTAGAGGACAATTAGGATGAGATTCCAGTTAAGGGAACACTAACTATCACAAAGGACAAAACTTGCAACTGCAGTGCTTATCAGTATGAGTTTATTTCTCTCTCACATACAGTCCATTTGGTAACAGAAGGGGAGGAGACGCTGTTCCACATGGTCATTCAGAAAGCTAGACTGATGAAACCTGTGTCACCTTCAACAAGCAGCTTCTAAGGTTACCCTAGAATGTCGACATCTGGCTGGCAGCAAGCCAGAGAAGAGAAGGTAACTGCGGAATGCTAAGTCCAGGGTTGGAAGTAGTGTGCCTGGTTCTCAGCCTTCTCCTCCAGCAGCAGCTCAGTGACACGGCCCCACCTAACCATCAGGAAGGGGGATTCTAGCTGTGTTTCCAAGAGGAAAGGGAAACAGGTTAGAAAAGTAGCTAACAGTCTCTGTCGCAGTTGGGAAAATAGAAACTCACACTGATTAACATGTAATAAAGGAAATGTGTCAAGCCCACAGAGGACACCGATTAGCTAATAATAAAGTAAACGTGCAGCCGAACTGCTCTGTTAATGGCCGTCTCATCTCACAATGCAAATAAACCATCACTACAATTGGTAAGAAGAGAAAACATATTTCTTCTTGTTCATGACTTAAGATGTCCCTTTTAAAAGTATGCTGTTTATAAATGAAAAATTAAATTGACAACTCAAAAATCTAACCTTAGTTTCTAATGTTTTCACACTAGGGAATAAATAACATATGCTGAGTTTCTAATAAAAATAGTAGTATGCTTAGCTTCCAATGAAATGTGGTCCACTTATTCAACACCGTCAGAAATGGAGGGCACAAGGAACTCTGGATATCGCTTGTTACCTCCCCCCTTGTTTCAGAGATGATGAAAACGTGTGCCCATGTGGCAAGATCATCTGACTAGAAATGGGCTAGTGACTTGAAGTTCAGTTTCCTGGTTTCCAACAGTTTTTTACTTGACCACACATCGGCTTCCCTTCCATCACCTTTTCCATCTTCTCACTGCTGAAAGTTCAGGTCACACACACGTTGTTTTTTAGGTGAAGTTCATGCCAGCTCACTGAGGCAAAATGACCTGTTCCCTCTCATGCAGACCTAACATTTCCTTCCACTATCACAGCGCCTGCACAACAGGACTACTACTACTCGTCAGTGCGTGTACTTCCACAGATAAGCAGGCCATGAACTCTTAGAAGGGTGCAACTTGGTCTTGTTCCCTTTTGAGTCCTAAGAAACAGTTAACGGCTAGTACATAGTAAGTGGTAAATAACAGTTTGTGAAATGAAGAATAAAACTGTAAATTAAAGAAAGCAATAAAATTTTGAGCAACACCATCATTTTATTAATTAGATCTCAATATGGATTTGAATGAAAAGACTCATTGGATGCATAGTTTCTGACAGAATTATTTTTTAAGCAAACGTATTATATAATAAAATCATCTTTTTAAATATCAATAATTAAATGTGATTAAGAAATTATTGAATTCATTGGATTATTATTCAAAGGGAAATTTTTATCTGCACAAATTTAACTTTTACCTTTTAAAATGAAAATTAAACTGCCAAAATATTAAATCAACAATGTAAAAAATAAAGATAAAATTAAAATACCTGCTTTTTCTGAAGTCCTAAGAAACACCATGTCTGACGGAATTCTTTGATTCTGCAAAGAGTAATATAAAATACTAATCATCTATATGCAGGCTTATAAATGAGCACAATTCCACTCCAAAGTAGAAATAATAAACACCAACTAATGTTATAATTAAAATTTGCTAAACTAACTTTTATAATTTGTATATCAAAAATTTAATATTTTAATTCACATTTTAGTTGAACCTCTAAGATTTTTTTCGTTAGTGAGCCATGTAAATAGCATTCAGTGATGACTTAAGAAATGTTTCAATATCTGAAAAATGTTAAATACTGCCATGTCTGAGGCATTAATACATACAATGTAGCAGCTATTGACTTATAAAAAAATTTGTCCTCCCTGTTATACTAAATGGCCCCAGAAAGTGAGGACAGTGGTCTTCCAATGCCCAGAACAAGACAGAGCACACCATCAATAAAACTTAATAAATGTGAATGAATGAAGAAATGTATGACTGAGCAAACAAGCAAACAAAAAATGGGACAGAAAAGGAAAAAACTCAGAGGTACCTTATGGCATATAAAAACTTTTACAACTCACTATTCACACATTTAATCATCATTACAATTCCATAAATTGGGAAAGATGTACCAACCTAAAGAAAAAATGTATAACTTGGTATACTTTACGTAATTTCATGAATTATGGATATTTTTGAGACTTAAGGAAAGATTTATCTACACATGGTAAAGAAATGGATTACTTGTCAGTCAACAAGTAATAAAAACAAATTTAAGTTATTTAGGCTAAAAAAAAAGATATGTTGCAGGATAGAGCAATTACTTCCTAATACTAACAAAAAAGGGTGACTACTTAAGGTCTAAAGAACCCTTAGGTCATGGAAAAATTTACAACAGAAATTAGTAAATATTTTTATGTGAACAGTAATAAAAACTCAACATATGAAAATGTGTGGAATGGCCAAAATCAGGAAAATGTTAAGAGGAAAATATACACAATTAAATGCATACGATAGAAGGAAAACCCTATGTCAGATCAGGGGAAGAGGAGTTGTATTCAGGTAAATCAGAATTTATTTCCATATAAGGGGAGTTCCGGTCAAGATGGCAGAATAGACGGTCCCCAGCGTCACTCTCTCCCACAAATCAACCAATTTACAACTATAAAAATGTAACAACAGCCAAGCTGGGGCCACTGGAGCTCAGAGGAAGAGGAGGAGAGACCTATGGAGTTCATGAGGGTGGGAGAAGCCACAATGAGAGAAAGAAAAAACTCCTTGGAGCATTTCAGGCCATGGCTGCTTTAAGGCTGGAACTGCTGAGCGCATGGAACAGGAGCTGGCAGGAGCCAGCAAAAGCCGCAGTTGTGCCCTTCAGATGGAGTTGCTTGGAGGTGGCAGGAGAGAAGAGGGCCTTGGTGGCCCTGAGGACAACAAGACCACTAATAGGGCTCCCGTGGACCCACACAGTAGTGAGGAGCCAGAACAACTGAAAAAAGGAGCCATTCAGAGGCCAGTGAGTCACTTCAAGGGACTGGCATACAGCCCGTCCCATGGGAAGTGTTTACAACACAGATGGTGATGGAGACGGGCACACTGGGTGAACAATGGGACACAGCAAGGTCAGCTGATCCACTCCCCAATCAGCACAGGACCACTCAGAGGAGACTGGTCAGGAATACAGAATTGCATGAGGTGCAGTTTGATGAAAAGACTCAGGCCCAGATAAGAGTTTCTACACAACCCAGGTACACCGGGTCTCTGGAGAACCAGTAGTAACTATAAGGTCAACCACTAAACCCTGAGCTGCACAAAAAGCCTACCCTACAGAAACAGCAGCAAAGCAGCAATTTAGCTCAAGCACACAGCTCAAGTACTGGTTACCACAGGAAGTTCCCCCATTTTAGAATCAAGCAAAGGACAAAAAATTAGTTCTGGCCTAGGTACACTGCCAGCACCTCAGGGCCCTGCCTGGGGCCCAGGGTATAGAGCCAGGGACCGGAACCCCACCCACAACCAGGCACACCACCAACGCCAAGGAGCATGCCAAAAACATCACCTCAATGTGGGTGGCCCACCACAGCCACCACAGTAACCACGGCTGCCACAAAAGTGGCTAGACATCCCAACCACCACACAGATGGTCCACCAGCCACTGGACTGCACTGGCACAAGGAGAGTAACCAGCAAAGACCAAAGGAAAGAAGAGGATGTCTCTCTCCACAAAGCTCATTCCAGAGTGACAGAAGAAGCATCTGCTCTATGATAATATTGGGGGACCTGAACACACCTCTCAGCATTGGACAGATCACCTAGGCAACAAATCAACAGAGTAATCATTACTCTTTCAGAGGGAGAGAAGAAATCTGGGGTTATCAGTGGTGGGAAGTGGGAGGGAGAGGGGGATAGGGAGAGATTGGACAAGGGGCATAAAGAATAAATACAATTTATAACAATATATACTAGTAATATTGATTTGATCAATATATGTCAACATTGAATCCCCAAAATATGTATAATCAACTATTATTCAATAAAAAAAGCGCATACAATAGAAAAGAAAAAAGACTAAAAACAAACCATCAAAGAGCTATACATCCACCTGAAAGCAGAAAAAAATAGCCAGTGAATCACAGAGAAAGTACAAGGATGTAGGCAAATATAAGAACAAAAATTAATGACACAGAAAACAAACACATGTGAGTATATATACCAGTAACAAACAGCAAGAGAGTATAAATATTTTTTCAAATATGCCCATTTTGGTTATAAGAAAAAACATTAGAATAAAACTAATAAAGGCTGGGCAAGACCTCTACACACAAAAAAGCTATGAAACATTACTGAAATAATATCTAAATCAAGAGAACATATCATGTTTAGAAATTAGAATGTACAGTATTGCAAAGATCTCAAATGCCCAGTAACTGATCTGTATATTCAACACAAACACAATCAAAATCTTAGAATGTTTTTTGCGGGAATTGACAAGGTACTCCTCATGTATACAGGGAAAAGCAGAGGCCAAGAGGACAGTACTGATCTGCACATCAGTTTGGAGAGTACTGCCACAAGTGTGAGAACTTATCCTACCATCTAACAAAACCAGAAAATTAAACAAGAATGATTATATCGGTATTAAACCAAGATAGATAATCACACCAATGCAGAACTAGAGAATGCAGAAATAGGCTCACATATGAGAAGGATGGCCCTGCAGGCGATCAGAAAATGACAATGAGAGATGATGGTCTTCTCGACGGTGCTGAGAAACACAACATTCCATTCAAATTACAATTTTAAATGTGAATGTCACAATAATAAAGCCCCTAAAAGGTAATACAGAAGAATTATTTTCTTTCTCTACTGAATTGTCTTGTCACTCATCGAACAATGTAAGAATATTTTCATAAATTTTTGGTAGGGAGGAATTTCTTAGCCAAGACCACAACAACCACAAAACAACAACAACAACAAAAACAAACAAAAAACCCCCACCTAACCATAAATAAAAAGATTAATAAAAAAGGACTTCATTAAAATTATAAATTTCTGTTCAATAAAGCCCACCAGGAAGGAAATGATATTTGTAACACATATAACTAACAATGGACTCTGATCCAGAATACATAAAGGCCCACAAACTGATAAGAATGGGTAACTCAGGGGAAAAAAAAAAATTGGCGATAGATTTCTAACAGACTCTTCACAAAAAAGAAAGACATACAAAATCACATAAAAAGATGGCCAATTTTATTAGACTTCACAGAAAAGCACCTTAAAACCACAACTATTACATACATATCAGAATGCTAAACTAAAAAGGTAGAAAATGCCAATTGCTGACAAACCTGTGGAGATACTGCTGATAATAGTGTAATTTGATACACCACTTCGCAAAATCGGTTGCAGTATCTACTACAGTGGAACATATCCATACCCCAAAACCCAACAATTTTACTCCTAGGTACGTATGCAACAGCAACGTGTACATATCTGCTCCAAAAGCCACGGTCAAATGCAACACAGAGTATCATTCAATAGTAGGCACAACTTACCCAAATACCTATCAACAGAAGAATAGATAAAAAGCATACTATATAATAACAAAATGAATGAATTACAGCTACAAACAGCGTGGATAAATCTCATACACAGTACTGGGCCAAAAAGCACCTACCCAAGCACACTCCTACCCCAGTGCATTTTCTAGGCACCTTTGTCAAAAATCAATTAACCAGGGCCAGCCCGGTGGCGCACTGGAGAGTGCGCCGCTTGGGAGTGCAGCGGCGCTCCCGCTGAGGGTTCGGATCCCATGTGGAGACTGGTTCCCGCTCACTGGCTGAGCGCGGTGCGGGCGCAACACCGAGGGTTGCGATCCCGTTGCCGGTCCCTGGTGCGGGCGCGACACTGAGGGCTGCGATCCCGTTACCGGTCAGTAAAAAAAAGACAAAAAGGAAAAAAAAAATCAATTAACCATTAATTTCAGGCTTTATTTCTGGACTCTCAATTTCCTCATCTTCTTGCTTACTGTAACTTTGTAATAAGTTTTGAAATGCAGAAATGTATCTCTTTACTTTTTCAAAATTGGTTTGACTATTCTGGGTCCCTGCATTTCCATATGGATTTAAGAATCAGCTTGTCAATTTCTGCAACAAAGTCAGCTGGGATTTTGACAGGAATAACACTGACACTGTAGATCAATTTGGTGAGTGCTGACATCTTAACATTAACACCTCTACCCATGACCATAAGATGTCTTTCTATTTACTTAGGTCTTCTTTAATACATTTCAACAATGTCTGGTAGTTTTCAAAGTACAAGTTTTGCACTCCTTTTATTAAATATATCCTTAACTACTTTATTTTTAATGCTATTGTAAAATTTTTCTCTTAATTTCATTTTCAGACCATTACTCTTTATTCCATTATCCTGTCTTCTTTTCTGTGAGGCACTCATAAATAAACAAGATAATTTCAAATAATTATTAGATACTTTTTATCTCTCCTTCCCCTCAAGACTATGAGCAGCATGACAGCAGGGGCTTTGT